GTGAGCTGCTCTTCAAACGTCGGACCACAGGAACCATCTCTTATTTTCAATGAACACATTTTGGATTAAAATTTTAAACACCATCAAAAATTTTAAACACCATCTTAAACATCCTCAGCAGCGTTAGCAGTGTTTACATTGTTAGCAGCATTAGCATTTGTTCTTGTTACAGGATGATGTCACAACAAAAAATATTCTTTACACGTAGATTTAGGATTTAGACAGAAACTCCCAACAGAACCTAAAGTGGTTCTCAGAGTTCTGCAGGTTCAGCTGCATCAGAACCACGAAGTCCACTCCATTTCTGCTCAAACTAAATGACTTTCTGCGACTCCACTCATCTGATCCCAGCTGTGCTGCTCTCCATCCTCATCTCGTCCTGCTGGACCGAGAGGCGACCCACAAAGACGAGACCGGGTCAGAACTGATGAGCGACAGACACAGCAGCAGGCTGGTGGTGCAAAAATCAATAAAGATGGTGACAGAGGTTCTTTTTTAATTTGATCAGGTTTTCTTCTTCTCTCAGCAGCACACCTGTCCCATCAGAGATCAGCTTCACTCCAACAACCACAGATCCATCGTTTTGCTCCAGGGCTCCTCAGCAGCCAGAGAAAAAGAAGCTACATGTTTAATTTCACAGCTTCACGCTCTGAAAGGGACACGCTTCACCTCAGAGGAGAGTTTTTACAGGATGATTTACACGTTTCAGAGTTTAAAAACACAAAAAAACAAACAGGTTTTTGTAGATGAAAGAAAAATATTCAATACAGAATTTAAAAGTAGTAAAAACATCTGAAGTTATAAAAATAGTACTGATGGAGACAGTTTTCACAGATCAGTATCAGATTAGCTGCAGCTCTGTTCCCAAAGTTTGACGACCTCGGTGGTTTTACATCAGGTTTGCTTCTGTACGGCAGGCAAATACGTCATAAAGTCAACATGTCTGCAGCACATACGTGTTTTAAAATAAAAGAGAATTTTAGCAACACGCCTCCAGACCCTACAGAGCAGCAAGTCAGCAGCTTTCATCACGACACCTTATCGATTTGTTTGGACGTCGGTACGATTCCTGAAACCACAAAGTCTGTCAGGAGGCTCTGTTAGAGGAAACGGTGTTATCCCTCTGAGGTGCTCGGGAATGGAACCCACAACCAGGTGAAATCAGACTGTTAACAACCAAAGACTAAACACTCTGTCAGGATTTTCTTAGTCCAATTTCAACAAGTTTGTATCGTTTCGGCCAGAAAACTGCAGTCACCCCTCATTTATATTCTTGTATTTTATTAATTTTTAAAACATCACGGCCAGGAGACTATAGATGACAAATCTTTTGTCATGAGTTTTATTTTTTATTTTTTTAACCTTTATTTATCCAGGTAAACTGTTTGAGAACACATTTTTTAGTAAATATTTTTAAACAGTACTGTCTCTTTTTAAATCAATCAAATACGATGCAACAGCTTATTGTATTTGATCCACATCAGGCAGATGCTTTTTTTTGTTTTGCTTCAATATAATTCAATCAATTATCATTTAAACAATCAATCAATGGGCATCGATGTATTGTTACACCTACAAGTCACCGGACAGAAGAGGGTCACCAAACAACAACAGGCCACCAGACACTGGTGGGTTGCCAGTTAGTAGTTAGTCGATTGCAAGGAGCTTCTATATAACAGCTGGAAACGCAGAAACCAGGTGACCATGTGATCGGCTGGAGGAGCTAACGGCTAACGCTAAACGGTCAAGAGTCTGGATTTCCCATTCCTGTACATGTTGACAACAGAGCAGAAAAAAGGACTGACGATGTAGAAATCATTAAAATTATTAATAATATTAATACAATTATTAATATTTTACAGTTTGTATAATCCAATGTTTTAAATAACGTCAGAAAAGCTGTTTGTGTTATGGATTTATTAACAGAAGATAAACAGATTTGATCTTATTTAGCTCAATGTGATCTGAGCAGAACATAATGTAACAGTTTAAAATTAAAATAATCTGATAAAGTCCATGTAATCACTGTTATTTATTGAACTGGTTAGCAGATATTAGCTTGTGGAGCATTTATACAGAGTTTAGCTCTGTTGAATCATGTTACAATTTAACACAAACTATTAAATATTACTTTGTCCTCTGATTAATATTTAGACCTACAGAGTGTAAAATAATATTATAAATGTCTGATTAATATTTAGACCTACAGAGTGTAAAATAATATTATAAAGTGAGTATTTTTAGGTTTATGTTAGAGGAACCTGACCTGTTAAGAAGATGTTAGCTAATAGAGACAAGTTTCATCCTATAACCAGAGAACATTTTCTAACTGTTGACTGGTAAATATAAATATTCTTATTTTTTATGGCAGTAAGAAGAAATAATAAATATACTTTATTACTAGCTAAAGTCTAAGTTACAGGCTGACTTCAGGTCTGATTTAGATTCAATGGGTCTCATGCAGGAACATGTTCGTATTCTTCTCCTAAATTTCTCTTACTTTTGTTCGTACAAAGGGTTCGTACGAACATGTCACGTCAGATTCAGCAAAATCTTCTATCTTCAGGAAAAGTGTGTAAATGAGCTGCGTAAATAACACCTGTTCGTATCCAGCTGCTCGTGCACGTGAGAGGAGATTAGCATAATTACCACCCCAAAAACACCATATAAGGCTATGTTTCCTGCCTCAGATACAAGGAAGTGTTCATTCATGAAAATGACAGCGAAAACTAAAAAGAAGAACTTTACGAGTTCAGAGATTGAAGTCCGTCTGTCAGAGATCCAGAAAAGAAAATCTGTCATTTTTAGCAGSTCAGCTGTGGAATAAAAAGAGCTGCTAAAAGTATAAACRACTGTGTTAAATCATTTTCCTTTATTCAGAAGACACGTCGTCGCGCACCATATGTAAGAGTGTGATTTATTTTCAACTCTAAATATCTTCAAACTAACGAAATATAAAGTTATTAGTGAAGAAAACCCGTCTGGATAACAGCAGACTGACTGCTGGTAAAATATACGACAGGTCTGGACCACTCCTGAATTTTGTTCATATTTGAAAAAAATCGTAGAATACGAAAACATTGGTGAATGTCACAAATTCTCCTAAATCACTCGTACGCACAGCTTAAGAACAAATCTGTGTGTACGAACGGTTCTTGCATGAGGCCCAATGTTACTTATAAATTATATATTTTTCTGGCATAAATCTGCTGTTTTACATGGTTGAATAAAATTAACAGTTACTAATTTATTGTAAAAACATGACAGATAATCTGTGAAACAGATCCAGTTCAGCTGCTGTGGAGGCTGTGAGCTGTTGTCCTGTTTGGACACCATTTTTGCTCCTCCATGTTGTCACAGACACCAGTGGACTGGGTGGACGGGGCTCAGTCTACTGGTCTGTATTCAAGTCTGTGGTCGGCTGACAGCAATGGGCCAGCACAGTGGTGGGTTGCCAGATAGTAACAGGACCCTGAACCACCCCTTCACCTGTGTGCTGCATCACCTGGACCTTCTTTAAACAGTAAAATCTGTGATTGTGTCCATTTGTTCTTAATTCAAAAAGCAAGAAGTTTTACAAACTGAATTTCTCTCTGGATAACCAACATTAAAAAAAACCTTTTCATGTTTTGGGCCTGTTGAGGCAGCAGAACCAACACAAAAGCTTTCATCACCTGTATTTTTTCACCCTTATTGATAAAACAAGTTAAGCTAAAATCAATCACAGCTTTTATTTACTGCAAAAGATCATAAAAACATCAAAGCACAAGAAAATTATTTATGTAAAGTTTGCAGACCCTCAAATAAATCTGCAAAAATCTAAATACAAACTTCACATTACATAAAAATTAAGTTAATTCTGTCAGAAACTTTTTTTTTATGAACTGCAACTAAAACCAAATAAAATCCTGTTTTAACTGAACGCAGCACAGGTGAAATCATTCATTTTAACTTAAATTCAACAGTTAAGACATTCAGTTTTAAATAAGTTTTTACACTTTCAGTAGTTTATATTTAAAACACCACCCCAAGCAGACAGACTGGAGGGTTTGTGTAAAACCTGGACCTGGTTCTGATGTGGACCTTACCTCGGACGCACAGCAGGAACATCTCAGCCCGGTTCGGATACCGTGGTGCCTTCAGGGAGTCGGAGTTGCCTGTTGCTCCGCGGTCATTTAAAAACTGCTCCCCCGTGTCGGTTCATCAGAGAAAACATAAAATATTATTTATCTTTTTAAATAAAAACTGAAGCTGGGAGACAGCAGGATGGTCCGGGCAGGGAGGGACAGTCACCGGCAGAGACCGACTGAAGACCGGCTGAAATCCGCCTGAGCGGGGCGGCTCTTGTGATGCCTTCAAGGACCGCGCTCAATGGTGGGAATTTGGAAATTCAAACTCGCTAAGGCGCAAAAAGTGGGACAAAACTGTGAATTGGTGAAAGGAGCCTAACAAACATACATTTTTCTTACTTGCCCGTGTCTTTTAGCAAAATATTTCAATTATTGGACAATTTTTTTAACAAGACTTTAAGAAAGTTATCACTGGATTTACAGGTACCCAATTCAAGATGGCCGCCACAGTCAATTTAACTTCTAAAAAATGACATTCACAGATAGCCAAACTTTGAGTGGAAGTAGCTGAGAGTCGTACCATCTGTATTGTTTTCAGTTAATACATAATTTTTTAAGTTAGCATTTACTTTAGTCGCAGGATGATGATGTCACAACAAAGGCTGGACACCAATGAGGTATATGTACGTCATTGCTGGGCACCAGCAGCATTACATTCCGAAATTCCTAAATGGAAACTTCATGAATTAGCATCATTTAATTTTTACATTTAGATTAAGGATTTAATATTTAAATTCACCATTTTGTAAAAAAATAAAAAAATAGCTAAATGTAAGAACAGTGAAACAAATGAAATGTTATTTTACTCACCCCACAACAATAAAATAAACAGTAAAGCACAAGAAAACAATTGTTTTAGATACAATTTAATGAACTTTCAAAGTAATTTAAATTAAATTGTGTGTAACCTTTAGATGCAGTTACTTATTGTAGATTTTGTAAGTCATCTCAAGGGTTAAACCCACTGTAAAGAAAAGAAACTTGAAGTTATGGACAGCGATCAACGTTAAACACAGAGTCATGTCTGAGCTCACCTTTAAAATTCTTTGATTTCATCTTCAGTTTAGGCAGCAGCATAAGATCCAAACTTATTTGAATTGTAGTTTTGAGACCAGAGCCAAGGATTCTGCTGGTGGTTTGGTTCTTGTTGGGTTCTCTGGTAAAGGGGCCTCTCGGAGTCAGGTCTGTGCTGGTTATTGTTGGACCATCGTTGCTGATTATTTTTCGGGAGCGAAGAGCTGTCCTGGTAGCTGAACGTTTCAAGCCGAGGTCCACCTAGAGACCTCTGAGACTTCTGTTGGAGACTCAACAACTGGGACTCTGGATTTTGCTGATAGACTGGCTGCTCAGGTTCAGGTCTTTGGGGCTGGGGTTTCATAAGGCGGTGGCTGTGGGTTTGAGGACTCTGCTTATAGTGGAGACCTTGGGACCAAGGGCTTGACTTATGACCTGGCCCATTGGACTGGAGGTTCTTGGTCTGCAGCTCAAATCTTGATTGGGACTGAGACCTCATCTGTGGCTGTTGATCCAGCTTGTAGCTGAGTCCACGGGGCTCCAGGATGAAAGATCGAGGTAGTCTTGTGTAAATAGGCAGCTGGGGCTGCGGCTTTAGCTGTGGTTGAGGTTTTAGGAAGTGACTGGATGCCTGGGGTGAAAGACTCTGGTAACGACTTTGTATACGAGGCTGAAATCCCCACTGTGGTTTAGGTCTCTGGTAGTGATTGGGTCCACTGGACTGTTGCCTTTGCTGGTGGCTGGATACCTGGCGCCTCTGCTGGTAGTTTGGTATACGAGACTGAGTCCTCTGCTGTGGTTGAGATTTCTGGTAATGAGTTGGTGCACTGGACTGTTGCCTTTCCTGGAGACTGGGCACTTGAGATTGAGATCTCTGCTGATTGCTACGCACACGAAGTTGAGACTTCTGTTGGCTGCTGGGCACAAAGGACTCTGGATTTTGTTGGCTGTTGGGTACATGAGTTAGAGACCTCTGCTGGTTATTAGGTACATGGAACTTTGGACTCTGTTGGTGGATGGGTACATAGGACTCAGGATTTTGTTGGTGGCTGGGTACATGGGAACCAGACCTCTGTTGCTGGCCAGAACCATAGGATAGAGGCCCATGCTGGTTGTTGGGTACTGGATACTTGGAACTTGGTCCCAGCTGTCCTTGGCTGGATACATGGAACTCAGGTTTCTGCTGGTGGCTGGACATATAGGATAGAGACCTCTGCTGGTGTCTTGGTATGTGGGACTCAGGCCTTTGCTGGTGGCTGGGTGCAGAGGACTCAGCCTTGTGCTGATGGCTGAGTACATGGGGTAGTGGTTTATGCTGGTCATCAGGTTCTGAATGCTTGTAGCTTGGTCCCATCTGCTCTGGGCTGGGAGCATGGGACTCAGGCTGCTGATGGATAGGTACATGGGATAGAGATTTCTGCTGGTGGCTTGATATGTGGAATTCAGGCCTTAGTTGGTGGATGGGTGTGTGGGACTCGGGCCTCTGTTGGCTATCGGGAACAAAAGGTCGAGGTCTGTTCTGGTGGCCTGGTGCTGGATGCTTGTAGCTTGGTACCAGCTCCTGTTGGCTGGATGTATGAGACTCAGGCCTTTGCTGGTGGTTGGATACATGGGACATTGGACTCTGCTGGTGGTTGGATACACGGGACAGCGGTCTCTGCTGGTGGTCGGATACAAGGGACAGCGGTCTCTGCTGGTGGTCGGATACACGGGACAGTGGTCTCTGCTGGTGGTCGACTCCTAGACTCTTGTAGCTTGGCCCCAGCTCTTCTTCACTGGATAGACGGGACAGTGGTCTCTGCTGGTGGTTGACTCCTGGACTCTTGTAGCTTGGCCCCAGCTCTTCTTCACTGGACAGACGGGACAGTGGTCTCTGCTGGTGGTTGGCTGCTGGATGCTTGGGGGTTGGCCCCAGTTCCTCTTGGCTGGGTACATGGGACAGTGGTCTCTGCTGGTGGTTGGCTGCTGGACGCTTGTAGCTTGGTACCAGCTCCTGGTGGCTGGATGTATGAGAGTCAGGCCTCTGCTGATGGTTGGAAACATGGGACAGTGGTCTCTGCTGGTGGTTGGATACACGGGACAGTGGTCTCTGCTGGTGGTTGGATACACGGGACAGTGGTCTCTGCTGGTGGTTGGATACACGGGACAGTGGTCTCTGCTGGTGGTTGGCTGTTGGACTCTTGTAGCTTGGCCCCAGTTCCTCTTGGCTGGGTACATGGGACAGTGTTCTCTGCTGGGGGTTGGCTGCTGGATGCTTGTAGCTTGGCCCCAGTTCCTCTTGGCTGGTTACATGGGACAGTGTTCTCTGCTGGGGGTTGGCTGCTGGATGCTTGGGGGTTGGCCCCAGTTCCTCTTGGCTGGGTACATGGGACAGCGGTCTCTGCTGGTAGTTGGCTGTTGGACTCTTGTAGCTTGGTCCCAGTTCCTCTTGGCTAGGTACATGGGACAGTGGTCTCTGCTGGTGGTTGGCTGCTGGATGCTTGTAGCTTGGTACCAGCTCCTGTTGGTTGGATACACTGGACAATCGTCTCTGCTGGTGGTTGGCTGCTGGACGCTTGTAGCTTGGCCCCGGTTCCTGTTGGCTGGGTACATGGGACAGTGGTCTCTGCTGGTGGTTGGCTGCTGGACGCTTGTAGCTTGGTACCAGCTCCTGGTGGTTGGATACATGGGACAGTGGTCTCTGCTGGTGGTTGGATTCATGGGACACTGGCCTCTGCTGGTGGTTGGATTCATGGGACACTGGCCTCTGCTGGTGGTTGGATTCATGGGACACTGGCCTCTGCTGGTGGTTGGATACATGGGACATTGGACTCTGCTGGTGGTTGGATACATGGGACATTGGACTCTGCTGGTGGTTGGATACATGGGACATTGGACTCTGCTGGTGGTTGGATACATGGGACATTGGACTCTGCTGGTGGTTGGATACATGGGACATTGGACTCTGCTGGTGGTTGGATACATGGGACAGTGTTCTCTGCTGGTGGTCGGCTGCTGGACGCTTGTAGCTTGGCCCCGGCTCTTCTTGACTGGATGTTTGAGAGTCAGGCTTCTGATGGTGGTTGGGTGCTGGATTGCTGTAGTTTGGTCTCATCTGCTCTTGGCTGGGAGAGTGGAACTCGGACTGTGCATGGATAGGTCCATGGGGTAGAGATCTCTGCTGGTGGTTTGGTATGTTGAGCTCAGGCCTTTGTTGTTTGATGGGTGCGTGGGACTCTGGCCTGTGTTGGTGACCAGGAACATTTGGTAGAGGCCTGCTTTGGTGGTCTGGCGCTGGATGCCTGTAGCTTGGCCCTGTCTCCTCTTGACTGGATGTTTGAGAGTCAGGCTTCTGATGGTGGTAGGGTACTGGATGCTTGGAGCTCAGCCCCAGCTCCTCTTGGTTGGATGTATGGGACTCAGGATTCTGTTGGTGGTTGGGTGCTGGCTGCTTGGAGCTTGGCCCCAGATCCTCTTGGCTGGGTATGTGGCGCTGAAATCTTTGCTGAAAGCTGTTTGCCTGGAACTGCAACCTTGGCAGGTAAACAGGGTCTTGGGGCTGAGGATATTCCCGGTAGATCTGTAACTGGGGGCTAAACTTGGGCTCATTGTTTGGCAGCTGGGGCTGGGCATTTTGTTGATTCTGAGGCGTTTGTGATCTTGTATTTTGAAAAGTCATCTTCAGATAGTTTGATGGGTAGCTGAAAACACCAGACTGGAAAACGGGACTCTGGTCCTGCAGTTCTGACTGATAATCAAGAACTTGAGGCTCATAGGTCACGTCAAACCCAACGCTATGTTGGAAAGCTGTCAACAACCCAACATAGATAAAACATTTTTTTAAAGCCCACAACAGAAATAGTCTAATTAAATAACAGGAAACCAGGGATTCTGAAACATTAAAATAACTGATTTGTGACCCATCATATCGAAATGAGGATTAAGTCAAATTTGGTCAAAATGACCTAATTACATTTTCAGATTCATTGCTTTGAAAGCTACATTTTGACACCTGGATCATTCTGATATCATAAATAAATCCATTTATGACTTAATTTGTCTTGTTGGTTACAATAATACATAAATATTTGGTCTGAATCCTAATTTTATGTCATTTTAATGAGGAATTTTTGATGTCCTTTACAGAGGAAACCTCAAATATATTTGAATATTGAGATTTCCAAGCTAAAAAGAAACAAAACTTTGCTAACTCATAGGCGTTTTTCCACAAAATCAGATTTTTTGTTGCTACTGCTCAAAAAAATGCTTCAAAATTTTGTTTTAGGATTATATTTCAGACAGTTCAAGTGATACATTGATAAGGCATTTATTCATTATATGTTGACAAAAGGCAATTTTTTAAACATTTTAATAAAAACACTATATTTGCCTATTTCTCCATTATCGCTTTTAGACTTAATCCTCATTTTGATGTGATGGGTCACATTTTGGTACAAAATATAAAATATGAAGTATAAATGTTTTTTTACCTGAGCCTTACATTTAGTTCTTGCTTGAAGCTTTCCAATGACCGCCAGCCACAGTAACACCACACTAAATGAAGAAAAGGTTGTTTTTATACAAAAGTTTGGCTATTTTTTTTACTAACAGTGAGAAACTAAAAAGTTACCCTTGAACTTTTCCCATGACTTCAGCAAGAGAGCGGTTTTTCACTTAGCTTTTCGTTTCTATCAATTTTGAACAAACTCGACAATCTTTTGTCTTCCTTCTTTCCTAAATGGAGAGAAACCTGCAGAGGATTTAGCTTGATGTTTGGCAGCCAATCACGGCTTGAGCTTCACAAAAGTTTGACTGAAAACAGGTGGATCTGATGGGGGGCGGGGCTATTTTCATCCACAGGTGGTTGAAAAAAAATATCTCAATGTGGAATAACGTTTCATGCCTGGAGGTGTTTTTCAGCAAATATGGCCTGTCAGGAGTAATCTGAATCAAATCTGAATTAAAGGTTATACGAAACCCTTTCACAATAAACTTTAAAATCTTTGTAAAACAAAGATAAAAGCTGCTTTAGATGGTATCTATCAGAACAGTGAGACGAAACATTTGAAACTTGCAGTCACTGACAGCATTTCTTATTTTTAACACAAGTTTAAGACGATGTCACTAAAGTTGCACCAGTTAGGAGTTGTATTGCTGCCAGGTTTTCCTGTCTGTGTGGAGTCTACATGTTCTCCCTTTACATAATGGGTTTTCTCCTGGTACAAAAGCATGCATGTTAGGTTCATTTTCTCCCACCCAGTGACACTTTAAGACAGGAACCAGCTTTTTATTGGTGATTTTGCTTATAAAATACTAGAATAAATACTCTTACGGCATTTTTAGCTCAATGTTATAAAATTAACTAAACATTGCAACCACTGAGAAGTTATTTTTTTTAGAAGCAAAAGCACTTTATTTTGCAATAAGGTATGCACAAGTTATAGTTAAAAATCAACTAGAGTAGTGCAGAATTTCACAAGTCGGTGTTCATGACAATATTTAAAACTTTTGACAGATTAGAGATGAAATGCGGAAATGAGAATTATTGATGTTCCATTTATTTTATGAGCCTCATACATAACCTGCAAGATATTATAATCAACCAACTCATAAAATTTTAATAATTTTAATTTACAAAATAATATATTCGAATGGTGACTAATGTTTCTGCTGAAAACTCTTACGGCTCTTTTCTGTAAAATGAAAATAGGATTTGTGATAGTTTTACGTGCTTTACCCCAGACTTCAATACAATAAAACAAATGTGGAACAATTATTACATTATATAATATAAACAGAGCTTTACCATTAATTAACTCCCTTCCTTTATACAATACTGCGTGTGTCATCATTGAAAAATATCCAAATCAATTGCAGTGTTTTATAAAGTAAGGGATTTATTTAATATATGTTAAATTGTTGTTTTAATTGTTTTAATATATGATGTAAATTGTTCCACATTTGATTTGTGTTGAAGTCTGGAGTAAATCATGTAAAACAATTACTAATCCTATTTTACAGAAGAGAGCCGTAAGAATCACCAGAAAACATTACAGTCACCCTTCGAATATATTATCAGTTGATATTGAAATTTTATTAATTGGTTGATTAAAAAATTATGTAAAAGGCTCAAATATAAATTTACCTTTAAATATTTAATTAAATTTGGTTAGAGTAATTACAATCTTAAGGGGCTAGAGATGTTTGTAAAGCTTAAAATTTGAACAAATTTGAAAGACCGATGTACTTCAGTGCAAGGAATAAGACTGCAATAATCTGGAAAGTGATTATAAAAATGCTGGCTCAATAAATTTATGAAATTAAATTGAAGAAATATGAATTTGTATAATGTGCATTCATAAGAATTAGTCTTTTTTGGAAGTTTGAATTTATTTTAGAAAAAAAAGCGGCATAAGTTAAGAATTCTACCTTTCATTTGTGATTTGTATTATTTGTTGTATATTGTTTTAAATAAATATAAATTTGTCACTTTACAGATTTACATTTTAAGTTTAGACCAAAAAAAAAAAAAAGGCTTTTATTTTTCAGACCAGTTTTTGTTGGGTTTACAGCTCAAACCATCTCCCTTTAAGCTTTCAGAAAAGATTTTAAAGTGAACTTAGTGTCATTTTTCCCATAAACACCTTCATGAATTTCAAGTGGCATCATTCTAGTTGTGTCAAAAACAGCTGCAAGACAAATCTGAGATAATCCAGGTCAAATAACCCAATCTCAGTACGTCCAAACTTCTGCACATGTTACATTAACATGATGTAATCAACCACACTGGATTAGATGTGTCATGAAACCTGAAGAAAGCCAATCAGTGTTCAGTACTGGGCTTAGTGTTTACAATCCAATTTAATATTTACACATGTAACTTTACTGAAACATTTTATTCAGTTCTAGTTTTTACCTGCAGTTATTGAAACTTGTGCCTACAGGACCGCTCTCCACTGACATCTTGTGGCAGAAAAATGCAACACTAGTTTCACTCAATATAATTTACATTTAATCTGGTGTCGGTTTCTTTAAAAACAATCTCATCAGAAAGGACAAAGCACACAGATCAGCTGGAGTCAGACTCAAATCTTGCAATTTATTTTCTGAAGTAAAAATCAGGTTGAGATGCATCTTTGGTCAGGTCTGGAAGAACAAGTCTTTGGTTAGAATAGAAATTTACAAACAAAAGTGATACTCAGTAAAAAAAAAACTCACCACTTAGGTCCCAATACTTTAGTGAGGTCTTCCTGGTCCTTCAGGCTGTGAAAAATAAAGAGTCTGCATTATTCCTGAACTGGAGTCCAGTAGGAGACATGAGGTGAAAGAGAGGTTCAGTTTGAGAAGCTGGTACCTGAGGATGAAACCAAGACTCAGGTTGGCGATGAGAGACCTTCATCTGTGTAAGGGATCGAGGCGCAGGTTGGGGTACTTGTGGTTGAAACCAGGATCCTTGCTGGTGATGGGAGACCTTTCTCTGGGGCTGGGACCTGGGCTTAGGGTTATAGAGGGGAACTTGGCCCAGTTGCTGAGCCCTGGGTTCAGGATTGAAGCGCTGTACCTGAGGCACCTGGGGCTGGGGGTTATAATGTGGTACTTTGGCCTCAGGATAAGACCTGGGGTCTGGGATGTAGCGAGGCACCGGAGCCGGGCGCTGAAACCTTGACTCTGGGTTGTAGCGGGGCATCTTGGATTCAGAGTGGGATCTGAGCTCAGCATTATAGCGAGGCACCTGAGGCTGTGGAACCTGAGGCCAGGCTCTGGGCTCAGGGTTGTACTGTGCTACCTTAGACTCAGGATAGGACCCAAGTTCGGGGTTGTAGCGGGGTACATTTGACTTTGGGTGGGTCCTAGGCTCAGGGTTGTAACGGGCCACATTGGACTCAGGAAAGGACCTGACTTCTGGATTGTAGCGGGGCACCTTGGACTCGGGATACGACCTGGGCTCAAGGTTGTAGCGGGGCACCTTGGACTCGGGATACGATCTGGGCTCAAGGTTGTAGAGGGGCACCTTGGACTCGGGAAAAGACCTGGGCTCTGGGTTGTAGCGGGGCACCTTGGACCCGGGATAAGACCTGGGCTCTGGGTTGTAGCGGGGCACCTTGGACACGGGATAAGACCTGGACTCTGGGTTGTAGTGGGGCACCTTGGACCCGGGAAAAGACCTGGGTTCTGGGTTGTAATGGGGCGCCTTGGACCTGGGCTCAGCTTTACTGGCATCAGGGTTTTTAAAGCCAGCTTCAAAGCCATGAGGGGAAGCTGTGAACAAAGACTCAGACAATAAATCACATAAAAACCAAACCGGGACTTGAAAACTTGATTTGTTTGGGTCTTACTTTTCTTACTTGCATCAAGCTCTCTGAAGAGCAGCACCGGCAGCACCACACTGGAAGAGAGGAAGACTCAGAGGTTAATTTTGTTCACTTTAAACTCGGTCTGTGAAGCTTTGAAGGCAGGGTTTGACAGTACCATAAAAGGAACCTCATGGCTTTGTGTTGAGACCACTTCGTTCTGCACCAACACACCAGCAGCTGCTTTCTGTCCTCCGTGATGCAGTAACTGAACCAGTCCAGCACAGGTGGTTCTTATTGTTCAAGCAGCCAATCAAAGCTGCTGGTCGCAGATGATTGACTGCAAACAGGTGGAATCAACTGGATCTGATTGGAAATCTGAGAATCTGGAAGGACTTCAGCATCTCTGCTTGCAGCGAGTGGTTCATGGTCTGTAGATTTATCCATGTTTGAGGAAAAAAATGAATTAGATTTCAGTTTGGCTGTACATTTTAATAACAGCAGCTACATACTGGTGCACATGAATTAAACTGGTTTTTGGTAACTGTAGTAACAAAAATAGTCAGTAGATGGAGACCATTCAACACAACAAGAACAAGATAAGATAAGATAAGATAAGATAAGATAAGCTAAGATCATGCCTTAGAATTTAAAAATGATGACTCGGCTCTTTATTGTGAAGCTCATCAAGCATTTATGAGAAAATTTTTTCTTCCATACATTTTTTATCATGTAACTCGTTATACAATTTTTGTCTTATTTTCACAATTTAAATATCAAAACCTTCAGCTCTTTCAGAACATTCCTGCGATAATCCTACTTCAGTAATTTTACTTTTACTTTTTAGCGAAATGAAGCTTTTTTTGCCACGTTTTTCTAAATGGAGTCGTGTTCAACGTCTTAAAAACTCCTCAAAATATTCATAAATCTTCACTGCACTTTCTACTCTTTGTTCTGGTTCTGCTTGTTTAACTTCTTTGTGCTACTTTTAGCTTCCTTCGGCTTCTAATTTGGTGATTTTAGCTTTTTTTGGATTCTTTTAGACATTATTCTGACCTTTTCTGCTGTTCTAATGTCAAATTTTTGTTATTTTATCAGCTTCTTTCAGCTATTTTCTCTTCATTTTAAATGTTTTCTGTGTTTTTAACTACTTTTTAGCTAATCTGACCTCATTTAAACTAAATTCACCTTTTTTGATCACTTTAGCTTCTTACTAGCCTGGTCTGCAAATGTGATTTTCTTGTTTCTTTGTGCTAAATTCAGCTTCCTTTGGCTTCTATTTGGCTGATTTTAGCTTTTTCCTGCTTTTTAGACATTATTCTGACCTTTCTGCTATTCTAATGTCAACTTTTTATGATTCTTTCAGCTGATTTTTCTTAATTTCAGCTGTTTTCTGTGTTTTTAACTAGCTAATTGGAGCTTATTTAAGCTAAATTAATGTTTTTGTGATAATTTCAGCCTCTTACTTTTTAAATAGGCAAACGTGATTTTCCTGTTTCTTTGTGCTACTTTCAGCTTCCTTCGGCTTCTATTTGGCTGATTTTAGCTTTTTTTTCTGATTCTTTTAGACATTATTCTGACCTTTTCTGCTATTCTAATGTCAACTTTTTTCTTTCATCTATTTTAAACTTTTATGCTTATTTCAGCTGCTTTCACTTAGTTTTAGCTATTTTCTGTGTTTTAGCTGCCTTTTTTTTAGCTAATTGGAGCTTATTTAAGCTAAATTCATCTGTTTGTTCTTGCTTCTTACTTTTTAAATCAGCAAACGTGATTTTCCTGTTGCTTTGTGCTAATTTCAGTTACTTCTTTTAGGCTAGTTTTTTTTTCAGCTGTTCAGCTAAAATTTTTTCAGCATTGAACATTCACACTGTATTTTCGCAGGAAATGCAAACTTTAGTTACGATTTAGTATTTTATTATTTTGGGATTATCATTTTAAAATAGTAATATTATAAATATGATTTAGGCTCTTAGAGTTTTGGTTTGAAAAGTAGTATTTTATGTGAGTCAGTAAGAAAAAAAAGAAACTACTTTTATTGCCATTTCTTGTGTTCTTTACTTTTAGGATGTTTAAAATGCAATAATAATAATAATAATAATAATAATAATAATAATAATAACTAGACATTGGGTTTTACGATGTAAAAACAAGTGTGCATTGCCATGTAGCATGGCTTTGCCTGCAGCATTAGACTTGCAGAATCAACTTTGACCAAGTTCAAATGTGTTTTCTGTACCAGCTTGTGCCTGTCACGTCAGCAGGTGTTCAGAATTAAGGTAATTCTGTGACAAGTTGAAGTTTTAAGAGATTTTTTCTTAAAGTTGCATTAGTCGGGTTTTGAAACCTGATCTCCCACATGAAAGTCCATGACATAGACCATTAGACCAATGGAGCTGTGGCAGAAGGTGGTGGCAGGGGTTGGTTTGTATGTGTGCAGAAAGAGGCCAGATTGCCAATACAATTATTGACACTAAACTGCATAATATTACAACAATAGAGCAGTATTAAGACAATATTATAGTAAAACATCAAAATACAATCATATTAGTATTGTAAACACTGAACTATTGAGATTAAATATTAAAAAAACTTTGGTGCAGTACCAAGTTGAGTACAGCTGGGGGCAGTATTGGACCATAACAAGGCCCCATTGACTCTCATTATATGAATTTGGAATAAAGTTTAAACATTAATTTGTCAAAAACTACAAGTTGTACAGGCACCAAAAGGCATAGCAATCATTTGGCACAGGACCTTTACAGATAGAAATTACAATGGCAGCTGTAGGACAATGTATGCAGGAGCATTGGACTTTCATAATGAACTTTGACCAAGTTCAAATGTGTTTTCTAAACCAGCTTGTACCTGTCACGTCAGCAGGTGTTTATAATTAAGGTAATTGTGTGACAATATGAAGTTTGAAGAGATTTTTATTAAAGTTGCAGTAGCTGGATTTGAACCCTGATCTCCTGCATGAAAGCCCACAGTGCTCATCATGAGACTATAGGAGATGTGGCAGAAGACAATCCCAGGGATTGGATTGTATGAATACAGAAAAAGTTTACCTTGCCAATGCAATTATTGACACTTAGGTGCAATATATTACAACAACAGAGCAGTATTAAGACAATATTATAGTAAAACATCAAAATACAATCATATTAGTATTGTAAACACTGAACAACTGAGATAAAATATTAAAGAAGTATGGAGCAGTACCAAGTTGAGTCCAGCATGGGGCAGTATTGGACCATTGCAAGGCCCCTTGACTCTCATTAAATGAATTTGGAATAAAGTTCAAACATTAATATTTCAAAAACTACACGTTGTACAGGCACCAAAAGGCATAGCAATCATTTGGCACAGGACCTTTACAGATAGAAATTACAATGGCAGCTGTAGGACAAAGTGTGCAGGAGGGGTGGCGTGGAGACGTGGAAGAAGACGGAATAAGTTAATAATATTAAAGAGAAACAGGAAAACAATAGTGTGCATTGATAATAAT